GCGGGGTGTGGGTGGGGTGTCGCATTAACGGCTCGTTACAGTATGACACTCCCCTGGTGCCATAACATGTTAATAATAGATACATTTGCATAGATTTAAAATATCTCAATACGATTTTGAGGTATAATGTAAAAGTCCACGTGATTTTATTTGTCCAAACATTTTAGTATACAGCATGTGAATCGATTCAATTAAGATAATGACGTATTAAATATGTGTGAGAAAACATTTTTTTTTTTATGTTTGTTACATCTTCTGACTGAACATCATAATCTTCAAACCCCCTCCTCACAAAAGACCACTCTATTCTATCAGTATATATATAAACCTAATGCCTTTTTTTTATTGAATTATCATTTTATTATATTTTGCAACTATTTATCTTAATTTGAGGAAGGTACCTTCCAAAAATCTGAAAAAGGTGAAAGGATGATTATAGTCTATAGATAAGGAACTTTAGGAACTGAATGAATTAATATAAAATATAAAATTGATTTTATGACTATGACTGCCAGGAATGGATCCAGAGCAAAGATCTGGGGAGGGAGGAGCCACAATTTTTTGTTAATGTAAAATTACAATATTGGAATCCACTGTCCACTATGAACTAAGATAGTACTATCTTAGTTTGTGCTCCCCAGAATGATACGTATAATAATATATTATATTATCAGACATACATGTAATTTGAAATACAGTAATATCAGGATCTGTAGAATTATTAAAAAAATGTGGGAAATAATATCCATCCCTAATGTGATTAAATGTATAATAATTAATTAGAATTATTTTCCAATTTTCCTTTCCGTAAAAACGTTATTCGGACTATTACGAACATTAAAAATAAATAATAATAAGCGAAATCGGTTACTGATGAACATCATTTAATTTTTATTTATATAGATACATGTACATTGTACATTGTAATCTATAATTACACCACTGGAGAAAAGTCAACCCTTTTTTCCCGACTCGAACGATGACAATGACTTTCCCCTTGCTCAACTCGCTCGTGAATTATATTAGGTAGGTATACAATTTATATATATATATATATACACCCACATATATATACTTATATATTTTAAGTATTATTTATATATAAGTATATTTATGTATGTGTGTGTGCACTTACTTATAATATCTATATAGAGTGTCATGGTTATCGTCGATCTCGTTTTTTTACCTTCTCCGCCGGTTTAGCCAGCGTCATAATTTCGTGCACGAAAACCAATATTGACGCGGTTATTAATTATTATTATTTTATTATCGCTAATATTCTTTTTCCCTAAATATACCAGTACAGCGTAGAATAATAATAATAATATAAAAAAAAACGGGGTATATATATTTAGCGATTGTTCGATTTCTCTGAATTACAGGAATTTTCTAGAAATTTTCGAATATTATATTACATTAAAATAATATATAGAACCACGACAGACTGAGGACGGTATCGCACGATCCTAACATTCGTTCCGATTCTTATATATGATATATCACACAGTTCGTGCGTAATTTTTTTTTAAAAGTGAAATCTCATGTAATATGTTTGAGTGCCTATATTGAAAATTGAAGTAGGTATAGGTAAAGGGTATTCATGGTATATTTAGAATAGTGGTGTACAAGTACGCGTTGACCGTATAGATTTAAATTATTATCTATTGATCGAAAAAATATATAATTGTTCCAAGTAGTATTTGAGGGAAATAATCCAAATAATTTGAAGCTTGATAAAAATTATAAATTAAATAAGAGAAAGAATTATTGCCTGTTTATACAGATAATATAAGATGCATGAACATATACATTTTTCACAAAATACAAATAATCAACCAGTTTTCATAATTTTGATCGACGAAAGTGGATTTTGTGTCCACGATTTAAAATCGAAAGTAGTTCATATATACACGATCAAGTCGAACACACAAGACTTAATATGTAAATTTTATATCCCACCTATAATTTACAATTATATAATTAAAATATTTCTTGTATTAGAAATGTACATGCTAATTTTTATCCGAGTTCACTTAATTAATGAAGTGTGTGAACTTCAGCTTAAATATTATACATATTCTAACAGAATATATTATATTAATTAAAGTTTAATTATTTGCGAATAAATTGTTTTAACGTAATTGTTTGCATGAAAAATTATTATCTTACCGATTCAGTTAAGACACGAGAAAACAAAAACGATCATAATATTACAGAATTACATTTGGTACATATTTTTATGATAGTTGATATTTTATTTATTTTTGTAATGTCTTTCAAACATTAAAAACCAGATTCTCTATCATTAATAGCTAAACAATATTAAAAATCGTTAAGTCGAAAACGCAAACTCGACATTAATGATAAACGATAATCGATAGTATTTAGAAACTCTCGACAGCAATAACGCATGACTCACAATATAGTCACTACTCACTATACTCTTATATACCAGCTGACACCTCGTGTTTTCGTTAGCTTAACCGCGAACCTCGGGGGATATTCGCATGTCTTCAGAATTTCTCCCGCGTACGTGATTTAATAATATTATTATTCAGTCATACCTACGGATATACGACGCGATGCCGGTAAACCGCCGTAAACATATGCCCATATATTACGGCTATATACGTATATACGAGTACCTACGGCTGCAACTATAAATCGTTCCGTCCGTACGCGGGTCCGAGCTTTCCTGAGCCACCGGGGTGAAGGGGGGCGTAGCTGAAATGTTATTATTGTTTTGTATAATATAATATGATGGTAGGTCGTAAGTACGCCTACGAATACCGCAATCATCACTACATATACGATACCGCGGTATAATACATACGAGACCGACTATACCTCGCGTTATATCTACGGCACGAATCGGCAATCACCGATCGAGAACCATGCAGAGAGAACGAAAATGAAAATTACGCGATCGATATTGCAGACACGGCCGCGGTGGTGGAAACTGCTGCGGTGCTTTTAAACCCGCGGCGTCCGACGACGACGTCGCGGTGCATAATATTCACGAAACGCGCGGCGATACCGCCCGACGACGAGGCTCCTCGCCGAGCTGCATTCCATTGAAGTGAACAAACCCGTCCGGGATTCAGTTTCATTACATCCATAGGGGGCATCATTTTGTACACACACACACACACACACACATATACATATAATATAAATATAAAATATGTAATATATGTTTAATGCGTTTGCCGACGGTTCTCGTCGGATGTGTGTGTGTGTGTAGTAGCCGGTACACCGTGTGCACTCGTACCGCCGACGAATATTACTATACATTACATTATTATGTGCGCACTCTATTATAATATGTATAGCAGTATAATCTGGTTTGGAAATAATACACATTATAATCAGGTATCATAATGTAATATACGCGTATTATATCTGTATGTATACCTACCATACATTCCGTTAATCCACCCATCCCCCCCCACACCGCTGCAACCCATCCGTCAGGGCGACCCGTTCACGGCTCTTTCCGTGCATACAGAAAGTTGTGATTTTATTCTATTACATTTCTTTTGAAATTCTCCATCGTATTTAAGTATTCGTTACATGAATAATATGTACACAGTGAATTGCAACCCCTTTATCCTTTAAGAATGCATCTTTCAATAAATTATGATTTTTTTCAAGAAAAAGTGAAGGTGCTATATAATAAATATTATTACCTATATAATAATGTTAATCTTCATGTTTTCCCTTATTCAACTATTATTTACATATTATTTAAATATATACATTTATAATTTTTTACTAGGAATGCATTACCTATGTAATTCATCAACAAATTATTTAGCCGTACAGAAAGTAGAAACGAATTATACTTCGTTAGAAGTTCTAGTCTTCTTTCTATACCTAGCTGATACTGAATGATACCTGTATTTATACACATGAGCTACCAAGCTAAGTATAATAACAGAAGGAAAAACAAATGAATACCTGGTCATTCCCATCAATTACGGCTTTATTAACAATCAATTAAAAAACGAATATTTTAAGAATTTGTAAACTGGCTAAACACTAACTTTAATATTTTACAATATTATTTATATTTGCCCACTAATACTGATAACATCAACTATGTATATAGGACATAGGTATAAAATATATACAATGTAACTATGATGCCATAAACGTCATGGCTTCATGAGGAATATCGTGTTATATAGTAGGTCATTTTACTTTTTATACAACGTCCATCCTATCCCAATGGTTTGCGGTTTTGAACGTAACATAAATAACATTTTTGTTCCTACAGGTATGATTTTTATTGGAGTTTTTATTATTATAATACATTTTTGCATTAAAAACATAAGCTAATTGCGCTTATGTAATCAACATAATTTATGTATATTTTTGGACTTCGAAGTAGAAAACTTCAACTTAATGAGTTCCTATGATACTATGATATTGTTTGCTTTCCTCTTTTTAAAAGACACTTAACAGCCTTAACGTATTAAGTACAATTGGAATCCTCGATCATACACTTGTTAAAAATAGACAATAAATATGGTACTAATTCAGTAATTGTTGAACGTGCCATGAAAAGAATATAACTCTATTCTTATTAAATCTTACGAGAGGCTATGATGTACTATCACCATGTAGGCTATGCTATGGTATATACATAAGCTGATTACACTGATACATACAGATTTATTTTTTTAGGCCTGTAGCATCGTTGCCACTGCTGGCCTCTAATTTCAAGAGGTAAGTTTTGTTTTATGCAATATATTACTATATTATATTTTGGTGTTAATTGTTATTTACGTATAATATAATATGATATGTAGTCATACTCGCGGCTACACAAAATTTGAATTTAAATAATTACTACCTATTAAAATAAATTTGTAGTATTGTGTAACACACTTTAAAAGAATAATATTTTTTTAAAGATATTCCGTAAAATATGTAATAAATTGTATTATATACTATCAAGTAGGTATATAGGTATTTTATCCACAAATGGCTCTTACCTCTCATGTTCCAAGAGTTTTTTAGTTAAGGACTCTTTCTTTTTGTCCCTCCTTAGTGTCATATTCTTTTCAAGATTGTCTCGTTCTTGTTGTAACTTTAACGTGAGAACTTTTTGTTCATCCGGCCGTTTTCTTTTCGTTTGAAGTTCCTTCTCAAAGCGGATGGTTAGCCTTTCCAATTCTTTTTCCCATTCGTTCTACACATCATAATACCAAAGTGTTAAGAAAACATGCATTTAAATAAGAATATTTTTTTTCACTTTGACAAATTCTAAATTTGAGTTAAAACGAATTAAAAATGTTTATAATAATTATTATTCTCACGTTTATCTCTTCCTTTATACGATTGTCTTCGGCTTCCCGTTGCTTCGCGAACTTCCTGTACAAATCGTCTTCTTCTTTGCGATGTTTCATTTCTAACCTAGTCTGTACGTCTTTATCCTATGAATACATAAAATATAAAACAATTATTAATAAAATATAATTGTAAACTTAAGTCGTAAAAATAATCAACTTAAAGTTATAACATTATGAATAAACATTAAGTTTAGAATCAATATTCTATGAACGAAAATGTTTGGGCTTAAATAAAGTATTGGTGAAGTGCAGACAAAACTACTTTTATAGGTTTAAAATTATAAATTTTTTTAATGAACGAAGGTAGTAAACTTAAATACATTTTAATAGTTGATGTAAAATATTTAATATATATATATGTGTATATATTATATATGTAATTAAATATAATACCCCTAAACTTTTGACCTACAATCGCTGAAAAAGAATTATTAAAAAATTCACTACACTATAGTTTTTGTTTAAAATCAATACGCAGTGAATATTATAATCTCTGCTTTACAGACAAGATCCGTAAAAATGGATACCTACGGCTATTGCCTTATATAGTATCGATGTCGGAGGATTATTTATTTGAAGCACATTAATATACGCACATCCGTTTCTCGTATAACACGACTTAGGTGAATTCCACACAGATAGATGTTGAAGATGCGATTGCCAGCCGAAAATGCTTATCGAAAAAAAGAAAGAGAGGGGTTGGAAAAAAGACGTTCCCTCGGACACTGCCCTGGTACGTATTCGAAAACGTTGTAATAGTGATGACTCGTACTTTACGACCGTTAAATTTATATAACACAGGTACTCGTATAATACTGCTGGTCTCAAAAATACCGCTGCACCCAGTTGTAATCGCACCTATTTATACCATACACGGTTACCACTTACTGACTTATCAAATTAAACTGTATGTAGGTACCATATGTACGCATACCGCGTGTCCGGTCGTACTAATATATTATTATTGTAAACGCGTATACCTACGCGTCTGTCAACGTACAGCGTAGGTATACCGTATACCGTATTACCGTATTCCTGCCTGGTTGCGGCTACCTTACGATCATAATATACGAGTACGGCATAATACGTAAACTTGTGTGCGCCGTGTGTACCTACCATACTAGCCATATACATCGCTTTACAATAACAATAATAATAATAATCTACCTCCTAATAATAATAATAATAATAATAATAATAATAATAAAATGTGTGTATATATAAATAGGTGTGTGACCGGCTGACCTTAATATCGCAGTGCCTTGGTATTGACATTGTATAAACAAGTAAATTTCGTGCCGATTTTTCACGCCTGTAAATCACCCAACTCTATACAATACATCAGTATTCGCCCGGCGTGCCACATAATATTATTATCATCAGCATACTCTATGTATATATATGATACTATATATAATATGATAGGTATATCATATCATATATACATACTTATAATATTCGCACACCGGGCCACTGACGCCACTCGTCCAAGTTGTATATGTAGCCATGTAGGTATATAGGTGTGTAATGTGTACTTAGTAATTAGGTGTGGGATAGAAAATAATATATTATATATGTGCAAATGTGCAATCTACATCAAGTCCAACAATTCGTATAGCAATATTTAATTTTCTAATTTTCTTGATCGTATGTTTCGTTTTTTTATCGCCATCCCCAACTAGATCAATATTCCGCAATGACATTATAAAGTTATTTACTACCAAAAAAAAAAAAAATAATAATAAAATAAAAATCTAAATCAATAATATTGTTCATTACATTATTAGAAACCTCACCCTATGTATTCAGCCTCTTAAAAAACAAAACAATTTTTATCGAATTGAAAGAAAAAATGCCAACAATAAAATAAACTGGACAAAGTAGTTTTATTTGATTAACGCGTGTAAGGTGAAAGAAATTTCACTAACCGTTTTGGCCCGCGGGGTCTAAATGCCTGAAAAGTCCAAAATGAAAAAGAAAATAACATTACTCCCAAGAAGGGGGAGGGGATTATACAATTCGTAGACGTACGTTTAAATAAAACCGGTTCACGGCGTGGTTGGACGAAGAAAGTAATACACATAATGTATATATATAGAATATAGATGTACCCACATTGTGAGTTTATAATAATATATATATATGTATACAAAATTATTGTATATCTATAGGGAGGTGATGATTGAAGCATGACGTCATGGATACACAATACGTTTCGGGGTAAGTTCGGCAACATCGCATTTTAATATACATTTACCGTGTTGAGTCATTGTATACCTAGTTTTCATTTGAATTTTTAATTGAGTAAAACAGGAAACCGTATTGCCCGACGTCCAATAACAGCTAGTGGTGATATAATAAGTTTGATGTTATATTCAGCAGTATTATTGTATTCGACAATTAATTAAGAATGATCTCGTGTGATTTGGAGTTTATTATATTATTATTTAGTATTAATTACTAATTAGTCGTGTATTGAATTAAAATCACTCGGCACGAAATGCCAAGCATTCGCTGTATCGGACGTTTTATAAGAATATATTATATGGCGCTCGTAATTCGTGCGATTTATACGTTCATCAGCCCCGGTTACTGCACAACGATCACGCGGGATAGAGTTACCTATATTCTTACTCTATGCGTTACGCCGTTTTCGGTATTAATGTATTATAATGCATACGTACAATGGCATGCCATACGTTTTTTTCTGGGTTAGAATAAAAAATACGAAAATCATGAAATATTGTGCTCCATGCGCAATCGCATCGTTTAAAATAATAATAATATGGGTACCTATACATACACCTATACGTAAATTATGTATGGTTTATCATTTATTTTTTGCAAAAATACATGTTTTTTAATCGTGTAGTCTTGGAATTCAACGGTTGCGTGACAGTCGACTTTGACTACTATATAATACTATAAAATCCTTGGAATGCTTCACATATTATACGCATATACCTACCTCGAATAGAGGACACATGTTCAAATCGTGTTTTACACGATTCATTTAATGTCTCTAAATTCTTATTTCTTATTGTTTAAAGTTTTCGAATAGGTACCGCAAAAAAAAAAAATACAATACATTTGTATTTAGTGTGACCCACGTGATGTTAAATATTTCATATTATAATAATATATGTTAGTGACACATCAATGATTAAGGCACCAATGAACTTAATGTGTTATATTTAATTTATAATTTGTTTTCTCGAAAACCTCTTGTGTTTCTTTTGAAAACAGTATTGTTCAGTAAATAAGTACACCTTATCATATATAATTATTATTTATAATTACACAAACAAATTTCCAATTTAAAATTGTTCAGACAACCCAACAACTAAAAAAATAGTATTTTTTTTACCAAAATTGCTGTTTTATAATTAATTAAAAAAAATATTTTCAAAAGCGTAATTACTTTTTGAGATAATGTGTGTTATATAAGTTAAAAGAATCGCCCACTATATAATATGGGACAGTGCGTGGAAGAGGTTATAGCCTTATATTTCACCGTACTGCAGGAAATATCTAGTGCCTCAAGGACACAACTAATCTAATTTGTTCAATATAGCTATGGTTTTGTGCAAAAAGCATCTAAACGAACACGGTTAAACTTAACCTAACCTTACTCGCATATGTTTATCGTTCTTGCGTATGATAATGATAAACCTGTAAATTGTAAAACTGCATGTATATAACATTGCTATCGTCATCGGTGATACGATGAAGATGGTTTTTGTTTTCTGTTAACCACGGTAATAATCTTTTTGCATATGTCCTTGTGATGTTGTGCGAGGTTTCTAGTACTTGTAGGCCGAAAAGACCTAACCCATATCCCCGCTGCGAAAACGCGTACCTATATATATGCGATGGAATGTGTCACACACATGATATTTTATTGTTAGGTATACATATAGGTGGGTACGTCTACAACGAATTCGTGATGGTTGTTAAAGTCACCGCGGTGTCGCTCGCAGTCAAATTATTATTATACCCATATTATTGTTTTAACGTTTACATGCGGACGTCGCACTAAAAAATAATATGTTAAATCAACTCTCATTACCGCATTTTTTTTTTAATTCCAAAAAAATCGAATAGACTCAATACACTTTTTATTTTTTTCGTCCACCACGTCTTCTTTTTCGTTTATTATTATTATTATTAATACTATTCGTATTGTAATTCCGTTTCAATATTTGCCGTATCTAATACACTGTGTGTGTGTGTATATATACATTATATGAGCCAAATAAAGCGTGAACTAGAAAAATAAATTGCAATAGGTCTGCACACCGCAGCCAGAGAGAACCGCAAAATTCTAAAAGAACACTGTCATTGCACTTCATTCCCTGAATCGACATTCCATTCACCGCGCGTAACGATCGGTACGCTACCTGTACCACCGCCACCGATGTATTTTTATAGTCGTTGTCGTCGGCTATTATTTACTATTATACTGTGTATATGTATGTATACACGAGAGAGAGAGAGAGACTACCAAAATAATACCTATGTATTAATACGTGTGAGGTGCGTTTATAATGAAAACGTTGGGTCTTCGCTTTTCAACCGAATTTATAAGCTCGTAATAAAATTAATTAATTTTTATGATTTTCGAGGCGGCGGCGTTTTATACTTTTAAGCAATATATGTAATGCGAATTTTCTTAATTTTATTCTGGTGATCTGACCTGCACGGGTTTGAGTACTTATTCTTATTTTTTTTTTTGTGATGTTCGTATATGGCGTGTAACACAATTGGGATGGCGCCCAGTCGTTTCCGACCGATTACAACAGCCGAACGATTTTGTTTTCACTTAGAAAACTTCCTACTTCCTGAACCATTTGAAAATTAAATTCACCTTAATCGCAATGACATCGTGATTTTTCTGAGTAAAATAAAATTATTTTCAAAAACCAATTGTTTTATATAACTTTAAAAGTCTTTATTATAAAATATAGGGAGAAATTGTTCAATACATTATAGGTATACGAGAAAAAAATAGATAGATTTTACTGCTGACCAATATATCATGTAAAATAAAAACAATAATAATATTAATACTGTTTTATTAACAGGTATTGAATTTATATATTAATATTATTTAATCATTTTAATCAATATATTTGCTTTATTAAAATCGATAACACAAAAGAAAACTTGTAGATGTCCTAAATGCTATATCAGGCTTCTATATTAATTTTTTTTAGTTTGACAGGAATAAAATAATTGTTTATGTTTCTATTCTATTGATTATTTCATAGAGATATTAAATAAAATAAGAAAATTGTATTGAAGTATTTAAGAGCAGTACCTACTACTTTCCATCCGAGAGTAGCAAATTAACTACAGAGTTCTAAGAATCCAGTATTAAGTGAAATACGCACACACACACACACACACACACATACATTCGCATGATAGTTAACTGATAGCTGACGGAGCATTTAAGTATTTAATTATTGGGTAAATGTTTTTCTTTTAGTTTTCTTTTAATTGAATCAATGTGTTGAAAAAAAGTATTAGCGAATGACAAATAATGATAAAAACCAAGTATATCTTATACGTATATTTTGAAAAAAATTTTTGAAAAAAAATGTGGTTTAGGATATGAACATTTTAATTTCGGGATTATCTAATTATTTATTAATCGATGAATTATACCCAAACCTTAATATATTATTATATATAAATATATAATATCTAATCCAAAATCATATTATCCTAGCATTATTTAAATTTTATATTTAACACATATTATACAAGACGAGTAAACAATATGACAGAAACAATAGGCATTTGTAGCTTAAAATAATATTTATGACTGCTTTGTTAAGTCGTCAAAAACAATTGGTAATAAATTCGATAACAAATCCATTTCTGAACATAAATTGCATTGACGATGCTATACAACACAAGTTTTTTCTACTTTTAACACATGGGTATAGTAGATACTGTAGGTACTATACACTCAAATTTCGACATATTTCAATTATGGGAAAAACGATTGACGAATGACGTACATATAATAGAAAGAGGTTTGGGTGTTAATATTCTAAGCATTCCTGCAAACGTGTGCAACGCGTAACTCGAGTGTATATTATTACGTAAAATAATCTAAAAAGACCTTTCGCCGATTCTTAATTGTTTTAACCACAAATGGTTCGCACACATGATGAGTATACACGTAAGTATAATAATGTATTCGTTGTATTGTTTCGAGTTATGCAAATGATGTAAGTACACGCGTATACATACAGACTAAACATTCGAAAATAAATCAAATAGACCGAAAAAAACATAGTACCTATACATCAAAAACTATTAAGCGTTTCAATTTTCTATGCATACCTTCTATTTATCTATCTAGTTGTCCATCTATATAAATAAAACGACAGAGGTCTGTCATTGTTCACGCCTCACGCCCTCACGCATAAACTACTGGATAACTGGATAGATTTCGGCAAAAAAATTTTAGTTTTACTTCTTAGTCACTTCGTCTTTATCTAAAAAAAAAAATCATCACGAAATTTAACACCTAAAGGGGTTAAATAAAAATAGGTTGTCAGAATACCAATGTGGCGCCATCTGATCAGTATTACAATTTTTAAGCATTTGCTTAAAAATCGTATTAACTTGAAGTTTTGAATCGTCTATGCTCCATAGATGTGCTTGGAAATCGAAAAAGAGTAGTCAACTCGGTGATTATACTGATTGAAGGGTAATGTATAAATATGTTTACATTGGGGATCTTTCTCCCTGATAAGCGTAGTTGGCATGAATTGCTGACATTTTCCCCGATGAATTTTTTGATGCAGACATTTTCTCCCATTTTTTAAAATAGTTTATTAATTATTGATTGCACAATTTTATTTATTGGACAAAGAAGTTTGATAAATTATCTCTATTGAATTCTATAAAATGTACAGTATGTTTAATATACATGCGCTTTTATAATAAAAAAGGCTTACGAAAACTTCCTTGCTGTTTCTTTAAAATTATACACAATCACGAAGTACCAAGACAGTAATAGTTATACCATTAATATTTATATATATTCTCTTGTGGTTGTTGAATGAGGAATGGGTATAACTTGCAGTAGATTCATAATTTATACGTACATGTAAAAAAAACACTGATATCTCAATTCTCAGTACCTCACAGTGGTTGACTCCATGGATAAATTTGTTTCAATTAAAACTGTATGTATAAATAGGTGTTCAACTGTATCGTTTATTCTAATTTGAAATATTATTTGATTACTATAATCATACTCAATGTGTTGGTATTTCGTAAATCCCTAATTCAAAATTTCAAAAATCAATTATTTTTTTAAAATTTTTTGATTTCAATATCTTCCCCGGGAAATTATTTTCTTGCAAATCACTTTACAGTCATTGCGGATTACGTTCTGATGTAAATACCTGCGCTGAGACGCGCTTAAAGAGGTCCATACTAAGGTTGATGCCACTATAGTGAGATTCACAAAATTAATAATAATTGGTAATAATTAATAAGTAGTTAGTAGGAAGGTACATATACTTAAAATAATTAATGATATACCTATTAGGTATCATTTATAATTTGTAGGTATACCGCAAGTTGTTTTTTATAAGGAACAACAATTATTTAATAATTAATAACTAAAATACCTACATTATACCTACACACCACGATACAGGCGTAACTCTGTAATAACATTTATAGTAAAGCTAGCCCCTACATTTTGGGAACTGCTGGCGCCCAGCGGAAAAAAAGACATTTGTTTGCGGCCAAAGGCGCGTACGACGCCCAAAAACAAAATATTATAATTAATAATTATTAACTATACACAAGATCGGAGCACTCACCAAATAACAGTGTATGGGTTTCTCCCGGACGCCATTCTTGTTCGGGTACGATTTGTGGAGTTCGGTGGCGCGGAGCGCGTGGGCAATGTGCAACGCCGAAGCGTCGAACCGGCCGTACTGGTAACCGGTGTCCGGGGTGGATGAGCCGATGTACGGCGTCGGTAGCGGTGACTGCGCGCGGTTGTTGGGCGTCGAGCCGTTGAGGTGCTGCTTGATGTTGAGCGCCTCGGCGTCGAACGTGCCTTTGCCGCTGCCGCGTATCTGGTCGTTGACGTACGTCGTCGACTTGGGCACGTTGAGTGCGCTCCTGATGCCCACCGACGTGCCGTCTAGGTGGCCCGGCCCGATTTTCGGCACGTGGCTGGAACAGTACACCTCCTTGTCCTCCTGCCGGTGCTGATTGTTGTAGTACGTCTTCAGCGTCAGCTTCGTACCGCACACAACGCACTTGAAGCATCCGCTGTGGAAGAACGTGAAATCCTTGAGCGGGCCCACCCGGTCCACCTGGTACACCGTCTGGTAGCATCGCAGGCACGTGCTCTCGTAAAAGTTCGACCGGTACATCGTGCTGCAGCGCGGGCCCCTGCAATAATGCAGTCGGGGCGACGGCAGCGAGATCGTGCTTGTTATATTATATGGTCGACGGCCCCTCGCATCATCATATTATTACCATATCAGAAATCATATTCCTAGGTAGCGTATAATTTAGAATGATAAATGATCAATGAACTGCAGCAGTGATCGAACGCCGGTCGGTAGCGGGTGAACGTAGTCGTCGTCGACGACGCCTGCAAAACATAATAATAATATTATAATTTATAATTTACATTAGAGAAAATTATGACCAACAGCTGATATATATGCGGTGAAAAGTACTCTGTACTGTTGTACAAGTATAATATATCTTATAATGTATAATGACAAAACAGTACGACTGGTAACATGGAATTGGTTCTCGTTTAAAAAGGTATTTTTATTAAGACGTGCTGAATTAGGGCCCATTCCTGTTCAGTTCTATTACCAAAACAATATCAATAGAAATAATTTTAAAATATTTTTAGCAATATAAAATTATATTCGAAAAACTGTGTATGAAGAAACTGCCTATGTGAAGAAGGTTTGCTTCAAACGATCACTCTGATAATCTTAAATTTTAAATGCAATTTATTAATTTTAAATTATTATTATAATTTTTACCTACTTCTAAGTTGACAGTCCTAAGCCAGTAAAAATGAAAAGGGAAATGTGCGTACTTGCAGTCCGTTTTACTGCGAAAAGCGGAAACCGACTCGATCAGTAATGGCAGTGATAGGCGATGAGCGATGGCACATCACAAATTTAAACAAAAACCAATTCGGCCAAATGGAAACCAATTCAGTTGCAATGGTCAGCAAGTACCTAATTAAAATTTTTATAAACGAGTACCTGCAGGTATGTATGGATGTAGGTAAATATTATGAGAAATTCACAATTTTTAAAAATCAATGTTTGCAGTATTGTCATTTAATGTTGCTATATGCAAGTATATAAACAAGCATTATGTCGTTATTCGTCTATAGTCTATACCCACAAAAATATTGACCAACGCACGTATTAATATCTACTTCACGTTGATACAAACATACACGTACCTACTTTTTAAAATTATTTTTCATCTCTAATAATATAATTATTAGTTGGAATAAGGTAAAAAAAAATATTAAAGGATGAAAGCAGTTCCCAGCATCTATACTGTTAAATATATAGTTTCTTGTGTAATGTTTATATAGGTTCTATCGATGTACCTAAATATAAAAGGTTTTGTGGTCTAGGAAACTCTCTCATAAAAATTTTAATAGCGTATATACTTAAATAATATAACAACTAAACAACCACAACCGTGAGTATTTAATAATAACACAGCGTCTAAAATACAACTAAAAACGTACATATAGGTACTTACATAGGTACTACATAATATATTTAAAAGGTAATTTATATTCTATTTCTCTGAGTACTCCTCTTTACTCTTATAATATTATTCTTTGCATATGGCTCATGATCTTAAATACCTGACATAAATATATACATATATATATTATTTGTAAGTATATATTTTTAATACATTTTGATAATTTGTATAATATGCCAATTTTAAGCTTAGTAAAACTACCGACCAAAAGTGTTAATTTTCAATATTAACTAAGACCAAAAATATAAATATAGTGGTATGTTCATGACATATCAAATAAACATTTACACACTTAACAGTTAACAGATAACAGTATCATAAGCTCTACTTATACAATTTAAATATTATAATTCGATATCAACACGAGTCTATATAGTCGAATGAACTATTGACAAGATTAATAATACAATATGCCATCTGACATATCATATTATAATATATTTATACTGCATGTGTACTAAATTGAAGTAACATTGATAAATGGTTAACATTAAAGATTCTATACAAGCTATTGAATGAAAAAATTTAATATATATTAGGTTAATATGTTACATGGATAGTATATTCTATATTTATTTGTTTTATAGTTATTTAAGGTTAACTGTTTTCAGTATTTTACTAGGTACGCGACCAAAGGTAAGCGATTACTAAATTATCAATTAATTAATTGTTAATTATTTTAAAACCATTGGTTTTTTTGATTACCCTAAAACATGTTAATTAAGCTATTGTAGTATTAAAGTCTCCAAACCCCTGTTTGTTCCAAAGTTTATTTCACGAAGTCGTGTTATTAGATACATTTTTGCTACACACAATAATGTTATTGTTTTTTTTTTTCTATAATTCTGAATTTTTATAATATTAAAATTCGGTACCTATTACTACTTATTTGTAATAACTTATCATATCTAAAGCCCAACAAATTAATAAAGATTTCAGAGAGCACCCAAAATTGTTTTTTTTACTGTTGATTTTTTTTTTGTGGGGGGGGGGGTTAATTAATTAATTTTTCAATAGTAATAGTATTTATTTTTAAATATGTACTGAAATTCGAAAGCCCGCCCGAGGATGATCTTAAATAGTTAAATAGTTGATAATTTTTTTATATCATTATATTTAAAGTTGATATATCTAATAAAATTAACAAAAAATGTTTCCAAATGTTAGGTGTCAATAATTGCTAAAGAGATTTTTGCTTGAGTGCGTCCTTGAAAGATTTAATGAAACAAACGGTGCACTGAAAGGCACTCGCTTTTTAAGAAATTTAAATTACTCAAGATCGGCATTGGTAGATCAAAACAGTAGAGACTGAAAACAAGAAAAATAGAAATACTGTAGGGATATCAAGTTATTTTACACTGTGTAATTACACACATATATATGTGGTAGATAGGTAATTGTTTTCAAAACGAACGAAAAGTATCTATTGTTATTTGACAGTTTCGAATCCTTGAAAATTAATATGATATTTAATATTATTATTAAATAAATATGAAATGCTGTATTATGTCGTTATATATAGTTATATATACTTTTTATTAACATAAATTAATCGTTATGGGAACATATAATAAATTATAGTAACAAGGCGTTTAAGCGTTAATTATAAGTTTTTTAAGAGCCATAGAATGTCTATTCAAACCAGCATAATATTTTAGCTGATGAATTTTTTACAGTTATAACTTTTCGTACATGCATATTATCAATGTAATATAAACGTATACACTGTACAGTGCAGTCTGTAGTAAAAATGTAAGCCCCACAAAATATTTTGATTAAATATTAAATATATCGAGTCTAAGACATTTAAATACTAGTATAGGCCATATTCCATTAATAGATTCAAGAAAATGTACATCAAATATTTAAATCATACATAGGTACTTACAAAAATAGATTAGCACTTTTCGTATAGGTATATCTTATTTGTTTTTTATTTTACATGTATTTTATAAAAATAATAATTATCTTAATTTTGCTGTTACCTAATGTATTGGATTTTATTTCCGTAATAAATAAATTATGTAACAAATGGCGCTATATTAAATAGAAATTAATGTAAATCATTAATTTTTAGCGAAGCGAGAGAAATATTGGCTTAGAAATTATACTTGCCATTTTTAAATGACTTTTCCCTAATTTATTTCGAGGCAGTAAAATAACTAAAAGTTACAAAAAAATTGTGGTAATTGGTTGGAGACAGAGTATAAAATATATTTAAATGAGCTGGAAAATGTTTGAATTTTCCAGTATTTTTCCGAAATGTCCTAACAATAATTACGTTTCCCATAACAGTTAACATATAAACAGTTTATTTACTTTGTAACACTTAATAATCGATGAAATTTTTAAAAATGCATCAGATACTGAGATTTGGGTTTGTCGTTGTTATTAGAAAAGGTATTTCTTAAATGTATAATAGTTTTGTGTGGATTTCACGAAAACTGTTTGCTCAGTGTAAAAAATAAATTGTCATGAATACACATGTTTATATATTATAAATTATAATATATTATATTTTAAGTGAACACTTAATTTACTATTATTTATAGATAGGTATACTCCATGGAGCTTATTGATTTTTGCTCTAAAAAGGGCTTTCCGAGTGCTAACCGAAATAAATTCATAAAACATTGCATTGTGAAACCAATGCATTCTTTGTTTTTTGTTTTTAGTATCTAATTAGTATATAATTAAAATACATCTCTTAAAAATTTCCACAACGTGATATTAAAAACATTACTAAATATCTAAATATAATTTAATTATTATAGTATTTCATATGTAATATGTTATTTTATTACTTATTAAAAATTCAATATTTTAAGATAACTGTCAAACGAATTGTATTGTATTAATCAAATTCGTAATCATTTTGAATGTAATACTTTACATTTGTACTTTTTTAATATTCAAATTTTTAAGTGTTTATTTAGTAGTGGAACAATGTTTTAAAGAAAAATCATTTATGAAAAAAAATACTAATTTGGATGTGTTATTATAATAATTATCCTTGTAACGATTAAAATACATATTATATCGTATAAATGAATCTTCGCTTTTCAGGTGCAAATACATGTCCAATCATCTGATGATTGCTTTATACATATTATTATAGTGGAATTCGTGTAATATTTTATAAGCTTAGATTGATGATATGAATAAATTAAAGTTCAATAAGAAAGTCTATAAATATGCATTGAAATATACACCTACATATAAAAATAATAGGTATACCTACCTATTTATAATTACCTATCATTAACTGTCAACATTTTTTGTCGTTAAAGTTTTAAGCATATTTATTGGAATCTAAGTTCTTAATGCGATTTACATCTTGAATTACTTAAATTTTAATGTAGTTTTAAGACAACAAATAGGAAATCGGTCATTGATAGAAATGCTAGGGCAGTTTAATTGCAACTGGTCTTAAAATGTTCGATTCATTATTGAAACTTCTTCTTCTAGTGGCATTTATTACTCTTGAAGAGTTTTTCCCTTCAAGTTTTTTTTTTTTTATTGAAACTTACTTATTTTAAATAATAAATTCAAATAATTCAAATAAAATAACAACTATTTTTATACAATATATTATAAAGTTAAATCTATGATGTAATACTAAAGCCAACACATTTTACAAGAGCAAAAAAAGAAAACAATTGAGGTAGAAATGACAAATCGTACCTAATTTTTTCTTATTATTTTATCATATTATTTTATAAACTGATAACACCAAAAATTGTAGTACCTATTTTATTTAGGTATCTATTCCGTATAAGTCAATATTATACTTATGAATAACTATCGTATTATATATTATGTATACTTATATTTAAACATATTTTTTTTTCTTAACACACAATTTAATTTCTCTCTTTGATCCACACGCAACATAGAACATTGAGTTCAGGAAAACCAACCTTGTATTGTTAGCTTTAATATTAGAGTAAATTGAATTATTAAACTTAAAGTAAATAATAATATCTATGTTTTCACATTACATTTTTACGGTATTTCAATTTGTATGCAGTGGAGTCATTTTAGTTTTTAATAGAGATTAGAGGGGGTAAAAGTTTTGAGCAGTCCAAATGAGTAACTTAAAAAAAACAAATTGCTTGGCTCTAAAGCACATATTAATATGTTTCTTTTCCTTCATACAACACAAACATAGGTACATAGCTACTAACTTTCATATACGCATATTCTAAATATTATGTGGCGAGCCTTCCTCCAACTATTCATTAGTAATTACCAATTTATCATTATGACAATAATTTCTTAGTACCCACACAACATAATATGTTCTCAAAAGATGATAAAAATAGGCATGTTTTGGGCTAATAAAACATAATATAGTGGCTAAACAGAAACGACCGGGTACCGACCCATCGGGCTACTTTTAAAATCAGACAGGGACAATTAATGCCCACCTCGCTTCCCCCAAATGACTCCACTGTTTGTAATGTTCCTAATTTGTAATGTATACCTTTATATGAGCATTTCAGGCCATTGCTAAATTGTAATACTATACATAGGTACTCATAACTTGTATACAAATTAAAATATCGTAAAAAAGCAGATATACAAATTACAAACATTGATAGCCTTTTTAACTTTAAATTTGATAATACGTCAACTAACTCTGATATGTAAACTATACACATCAACAATGAAACTGATGAACATAGATTTGATATGTTACCTGTGGGTTAGAGAGATAGAACAAATAATACACCTTACATCATCTTTAACCTTAAACACATTAAATATTTCGATCTTAAAAATTACATAAATTTAAACAATCTTTAAACCGAAATGTAAATGATAAATGTTCCTAAATTAATGAATTCAGTAACTGGTATAGATTTAATAACTGTTAAAAAAACCTTTCTTTTTATCAAAAGTTGCCAGTGTTGTAAACATTAAAAAATACAGTTTATTGTATTTGTTTATATTTTATACATAGACGTTTGAGTGATTACACTACGATATCACAGATTAAATAAAACATTAATTAGAAGAATTTTAAATACAACTATGTGAATTAACTGTATAGAAACATTATTGTGTGAGTTTATACACCTACCTACATTGCATGTATAGGTACTCTAACTTTCAACCATTCCACTCTTTACAGTTACGAATAGATAACTTATTAGATTGGATCTTAGATTATTTATCAAAAAAAATATAATAACCTATAATATATTTAAACATACAGACGATTTTGACGAATAATTTTCGTAATACATATTAAAATGTAAAGTTTAGCCATGAATCGATGTGTATCAAGGTATCGTATTCATAGCTGTAATATTTGCAATTAATTGTTTTATAATAAATAATTTAGAGACTTTAACGACAGATCAAATAGCAAAACTACTGCCTATACTCGTATGTTAGATAATATATTAAACAACAATATAAACAATAAATATATATATAATATATAAACAACAATTGTTAAAATATAATATATAAATTATATAATTATTTCTAGAACTACATTTTTACAAAGCATAGTCCGATTGTTTTAAAAATGTATTATCTAACTTACATTAATTACAATGTTTAAGGCTATTAAATATTTAAATCTATAATTTTTAAGGTAAAAAGTACCTACCTTTGCTTATTTTAAGAATTTGGTATGCACATAAAGGCATTCGCAATTTTGACGAACTCTTATAATCCACTGGTACACACACACACCGCACACTGAAAGAACCACGACTGCAGCATTATAACTCAGCCATTTTAGTTATTTTAACGTTTAGTTTTTATTTAAGCGTCAATAAACATAAACCTAATGTACAAAGTCACTCAAAAAACAAACGAGGTGGCACAAAATCACGAGTTCCCGATTTGTATTTATTTTGTTTTAAAAATATTTTTTTATTATTTTTTATTACCGACGTCGAGCGCGACACCTTTACCACGATCCAATGTATTCTCGATACTAACCGTGTTGCCGGAGCCGCGAACGACCTTACCATCGGTTTTCTGGTTATACGGTTTCACCTGTGCTCCTCTCTACCTGTACCTATATGCTCGTTGTGTACGAGATCCCCCACCATTCACGTTAGTCTTGTATTCATGCTCGCAGATACTGCAGTACCTGTATTGAAGATAAAAAAATAAGTGTAGCTAATAACACAATAGTTTATTTTATTTTTCCAGCAGATCATCTTTAATTGTTCAAGTTTTAGTTGTTCTATATGTAAACATACGAAATGGAAAAACCTAAAAGTGATCAATTTTCTGCTGGAAAAATGTATATGCATTAAATGTAGCCAAGTATATATTATGGTCACTTTGCCGAGTGTAGTAAAATGAAAATTAAGGAGCTAGTTATAATTTATATACAATCGACATATTTTACGAATTCTTCTAAGTAATTTCAATAGATAAAGCAAATTACTTATTATTTTTATTCATTATAACACGTCGGGACTATATAGAACCGTAATCAGTTTTAATTATACATAGAATCCTATACCCGACTATACATATACTAAATCTGATATAGAATAACATTAAGATTCTGATAGGAGCAATAAATGTATTGATTTTACAATCTAGTGTGTTTTTTTATAACAGAAGACCCATTTTACAGTAAAAATGGAAAATTTCATGGAAATTAAAACTACGTTTATTAAAATATCATGAAAATGCACGGCCATACAGTATTATTATGACCATAGCTATAATAAATTTAAAAAACTAGAAATCTGAGACCTGAGTATTCGACAAAAGATGTGGATATAATTTAGAAACTCAGAATAAACATTATTAACCTAATACACTTTTATATCTTTTTTTTTCTGTCAGTAATGAATTATTTAAAAAAAGTAATGATTGACCATCATTTTTTAGCCATAAGCCATAAACGATAAAGAAAAGGTGATTTATAGTATTAAAAATAGTCAGGTTGGACACATTGTAGTTTTTGTTTTGTTTTTGTTTTTGTTTTTAAAAACATTTAGATCGATTGAGATGTTTGCAAAAGTTGAGTTTATGTTTTGTTTTATTTTCTTGTTCTGTGTGGACCCGGCATTAGAAGTTATTAATAATAACTAGTATGGTAATATGTAATACGTGTAAGTTGTAAGTATGATGATAATATAGGGAAATAACAAATAAAACCCCAATTTACCGAACTAAAGCACAATACTATTATAATTTATAACATATGTAAAAGTCAATCAGCAGTAAATATATTATTTGCTCAAAGGGGATCACCCGCTCCCGCTATGGATACTTGACAAATATTTACGAACTTACATAATATAATTATGATTATTATGTTTCTCAATTCGCGGGATGCTACATAATTTTAGGGAAAATAGCAAAACATTTTGGGGAAAATGTCAAAAAATATAATTTATAAGATATTACAATATTACATTTTGTTTTAGTAAAATATTAAAAATATGTTCAAAACGTAAATAAGTACCAAGTTTATATGGATTTATAAGTGTACAAACTTTATTTTATTCGTATAAAATGAAAGTAAAAATGATCATATACCTAAATCAAATAATTAATACTTTGTATTATGTATATATTATGTAACTTAACGTCTTAAGTCTACTGAATATATGTACACGAATATAGAACATTTATACAGATTGTGGAAAATATATTATATACCTAATAAATAATACAATTTTTTATTCTACTCAAGCCAACAAATAAGCAACTATAGTTTATATAGGTAGTGGAACTTTAAGCACGCCTATTTTTTAATTGTAAATTTTCGATATGTATAGGTATCTCAATTTAATTACATATTTGTGAATTGATCTAGTCATTATTGGTATTATATTGATATCAAATATATTAGTATTTTGCACTTTAGTTCCCTAATATTATGGTAATTTTGCATTCTTCTATTAAAAAATATGGTTTCGATGAATCACGATTCACGACTTATTTCATTATAAATACTGTCGAAAATCTTTAAAAAAAAATGTTCATTCATACCTATATGGCTATTTCGTTTACTGTATAATCTAATTAATCGATTTATATAAATTACTGAAATATGATATAATTTTTAGTCAACTGGTAAAAGGCAAAAGTTTCCAAGTGACATTTATATAAGCAAGCTGTTGTTTTTTACGGGATGACCGCCAGTTTGAGCTTTTGAAAATATGAAAATTGCATGCACTAATGTTCCACTAAACGTAATGAAACTTTACATTTTATTATTTTCTGGATAAGCAATACATTTACCAACATGAAAATTTAGATTTTGCTTTCCTTTAAAGTATTAAAACTGTCATACAGCTCCTTTTGCCTTTTAACAGTGGAATTGTATCTATAAGTAATCTACATTGTGTTAAATTTAAGATCCAAAAAAACGTGTGCAATTTCATTTGTCTGGCATCATCATTGTTATTAAATGCACATAAAATATGTGTATAGGTAAGTAGGTACGCTATAAACTGCATGTCAGTTCATATTACATGTATCTTATTTACATACATATAGGACTTAATTTTTTTAACTATTGATGACTGTCAAAAACCGGATATACAAACTGCGTGAAATATTTAAATCGTTAACTAAATCGGATGTAGGCTGCGCAATGCATAGTGCAGGTATATTCAATAACTATACATGTAAATAAATAACAATAAAATATCTTTTATATTTTATGCACTAGACATAGTTTATTCCAAATGTAGGTACATGATTAATGATTATGGATGCATAATGCATAGACGTATAGTCATATATTCGTATAGATACTGTTGCGTGACATTCAATTCACATGAACCGTGAAAACAAAACATAGCCATGAAAATGTTAGTGCGGTTAGTTATATCCGGTCAGCTATATTGCTACATTTAAATATAAACAAACACCCAACTTTCCCAACTACAAATTGTAAAATCGTTATAGATGAAAAAAGATATGGATAGGTAGTATTTTTGTGTTTTAGTTTTTCAATAAAAATAAAACTATTTACCTAATTCTGAAATCATTACTAATAAGTAATAACTATCATAATACAATACAAATAATTAGAAAATGTATAAGAAACCTCATACCCCATTCAATTTTAGAAATATTGTACACTGTTACTGTAGCAGCCTGCCCTCTGCAATGCTGTTAATGAATATTAACAATATGGGAATTAATACCCAAATAATATTTTCTAAAATACATTTTGATTCATTATTAATAAAATAGTCAATACTACTATCGTTATAACGCACTGCGAAAAAGCTAAGACTGCATGTCTTCATTTGCACTTTGTACAGTGGTAAAAAAAGCTATTAACAAATAATGTGAGCAAACTACAACATCAATTTTTTTTCTGTGTGATTTAAGAAAATTACTTTTTTAATTGACATTTAATTTATGTTCTGCCTATTTCGTCTTTCATCCTATACAAAATTAAGAGACAGATCACAAATGCAAATTCATCAATAAGACATTTACAATACATCTAAAAGAAATATCAAATATCTATACAAGTTTAGTATGGTAGATAATCCTTTAAAATTTAAAATTTTTAAACATATCTTACATAAATCCTATACTAAAACTAGAAAGTATATTGTTTAAGATCAAGAATCAAGTTCAAAACACTACATAAAATGTCAGAAATGGGTTAATAATGTGCACTTACCTAATTACTTAACCTTCCGGAACCCTTACTTTTTTAATCTTATCATATACCTTAATGCATTAGTACCTACCTATAGGCAATTATAGTAATCATACTAGCTAGCTATATAGTATGGAAATTAAACAAACTTTAACAATTAGGGTGTTCGTTTATTCCACTTATGCACTATATTACTATAATATGTTATATATATCCAACATCGTAAAAATTTGAACTTCGATGCCCATAAAAAAAAATTTAATGTATGAGGACTTACATAAAATACTTTTTTTTCAATTTACAGTCATAAATACTAATAAGTAATCTTATATTACATTTTAAGGTTTAAACTATAGGTGGTAAAATTAAAACATTGTTAATTTTTACCTACAAAATAATTTGCTAGTTTTCGTGATTTAAGTCAATTTTGTTAAAAAGTTATTATGATAACCCTTTTAAAAAATAAATTTTGGCTATGTTTTATTAATTTATATTTTTAAATGATTTACAAGCAACTTATAAGGAACTTGTTTATACCAAATGTAGAACATTTTTATTGCACATAGGTAAATTGAAAAAACTAAAAAAATCAACATTTTTGTTATTATGTCCTGTAAATGCTCATGGATATTTGGTGAAAAAATTTAAGTTTTTCATTTTTGAAAGTATTGGGAAATTTAGTCTTAGGAAATTATTCACTTAAAATTTAGTAATAATAATAATAATACATGAAGTGTATGTGTGCAGTGCACACGACAGAAGTGAATACTTAAATTAGTTAAATTAATTATTAACCTTTGGTTGGAATTTAAAAAAATAAAACCAAACTTGACTGCGGGTGGCTGTTAACTTACAAATAGTGCTAACATTTAATAATAGAGCGATAATAATTTAGAAAAACAATCATTAGGTAACCAAGAAACGACATATAAATATACGTATATTTTTCACTCAAACAGATAACTATAATTCCAACAATACGTCGTAACGATTACCTCGATTTGCATTCTAATAAAATATTCTAATTATTGTTCATAACATGTTCGAGGGATCGATCTACTCACATTTTTATAATTTCATCTAGTTGATTTAAGTTGAAATTTAAAAAAATGCATTAAACGGTCCACTGTCGCCTATGAAGTATATTCACTTCAAAAACCGCTCAGAATCTGAAACGTATTATTAATTTATAGGTACTTACCTATATATTATATTATTGTAATATCGCTAAATTAGGGTACATACCTTTCAAACAAATAAATATATTAAGAATTATTGACTCCTTTATAATTGGATACTATAATAATAATAGTACATATTAAATATAATAACTAATAAGTCTTAAATAAATAA